TGTAAAAGAGTTGATAGTATACCGTGAACGAAAGAAACATGTTTCCTTCGCTTATGATCTTTGTTTGAGAAACAATTTAATTAAGATAAAGATGTTTGAGAGGCTATTAAAGAGGAAAGATGGCGACTTCTTTGAAATCGATATTCTAACAAATAACATGATATGCTTGTAATATTATTTTTAGTATGAAAACAATTTATGGATATTGGCTTAGTGCCCCACCAAGGAGGCTCTAATTAGGAAAATAAATTAGTTGGTAACTTTATCTGTATCCTTAGCAAAAGTATAGGGGTTATGATTTAAACTTTGCAGCATTTCAAAATATTTTTAAAAGTAGAAAGATATTATAAATATGAATAAAAAAACTTAATTTGTAAAACAAAAAATGGAAAATAAAACAATTATCAAACACAATCTAAAGCAATTATATGATTTTTTAGCAATGGGGCATCACATGATAATAACAAATGAAAAAAAAAAAACAGACAATAAAGCACTAAAAAAATGAGAAAAAGCTGCCTTCATTTAGAAAAACACCCAATCATTATGATACCCATACACAGTTTAACTTTTTTACTTTTTTATAATATTAAAAAAAAGCACTTTTAAAATTTAAAATTATCAAGCTAAAAAGAATCTCCTATTTTGATTTCACCTTTTTTTTTTCTTTTTTAATCTTTTGAAATTTAGATGACAGAAAGGCATGGTGGTGATCATAATTGCTATTGATTGAGCTCCTCAATTACCTCCTTTATTTTCTCCTCAAATGGAAGCAACTTTCATTATTAATGTTTCAAAATATCACCTACATTTTTTAAATGTTGTCTTTCTCCATTTCATGCTTTCCAATTTATAAGAAAAGTAATTAAGTGATATAATGTCCACATTTTTTATGTTTGGTTAAAATAAAATTTAACAACCTTTGAAAACAAAGTTGTTTGATAACCAATTTAATCTGAACGTTGACCTATAAGATATGTTACTAATATTTTGACCACTGTGCTACGTATGCTTTGTTTGATATTTTGATCTTTAAAGTTTAAAAATTGATTTTAGAAACTTAAACGCACCATATTTTTTTGAGTTCAACCAGGGATTGAGCATCCAATATTTTTAAGGGGGTAAGTAATGCATTGACGATTTGATCTACGCTCGTGTGGAGAACATAAACAAAAGTTAACAGGTCAAAAAATTGTAATTTTATTTGAAGGTATGTGTTTGAGTCTCATCCATGTTTAAATTATAATAAAAAAATATAGTTTCTTAAAATTTAATAAGTTGATTGACATAATCTTTATTGACTTTCAGTTTGTTAGCCCTGTTTTATTTGGTACGAGATCTGGAATCAATTTGATGTTTTAAAAACAAGGAATACAGTAAATTTGTGTTTGCTTGGCCGAAATTTAAAAATACAATAAAAGACAAATTAGAATTCAATATTAATATTCGTGGGGTTTTATCTCAAAATCAATTGGCAATAAAAGGAGTCAAGATCGTGGCTCGTTTGAACTCTTGGACTCTAATACCATATTAATATTCAGTGAAACCATGAGTAAGGGAAAAAAAATTCCTCAAAACTCATTAATTAAGGAAGAACAAGTCTTGCACAAAGTTAAGTTTGGTTTGTGCACAACATCAATCATAAAATAAACCTCTCAAAATTCTTAAATTTCAACGAAAAAGAATCTAGTTTTAGTATCTTCTTTCGTTGAAGCTGTATCAACTTGGTAATAGGCCTAGCTATGATTTAAATTCATCGAATTCATGTATGGAAATATTTTTTTAATGATATCATGCAAACAAAAGCCTACTCGAAGTTCAATAACAATTGAAACGTTCAACCAAGTTTACGGTCCAATTTGATGAATTAAAAGTCTACTATGAAAAGGAGGTTAAAGATATTAGACTTAACTCTGCTAGAGATTGGATGAGTGAAAAGAACTCGTTTTTGTGTCAACCTATAAGACATATTTTGAAGAATGTTTTAGCCAATAAATTAGTGACACACGTCTCATGGTGGGAAATTGTCATATTATAAACTAGTTGTCTAGTGATGATAGAGTTAACGAGCTAGACTTAGTCTTATTAGATATCTTATAAATAACTAAATTTACCCTAACTCACAAACTTAAGCGTTTGAATTCATTGATGATTTAATTATGTTTAAAATGATATTCAGAGTAGGAGATCCTCCGTTCAAAGCATGTTCACACCAACATTTAATATCGGTAAACATGTGGGGTGGGAGATCGAACTCTCAATCTCTTGATTTAAGATATATGTCAATTACCGTTGAACTATGCTCGTCTTGGCAATGATACTAATATAGTTAACAATGAATGTGAGTAGTATCTAGGACATTCTCACTCACCATGGAAGTGTAAAAAAATTACTAATACTCATTCTACCGCACACAAAGCTTCTGGTTTGACTTAAGAATCAAAGTATATTCGGTAAATACGATATATGCATGTATTTTTTATTTATTTATTTATTTTTTCCAAACTTAGATGATGATGATGCATTGAGCTGGTAAGTAGCATGCATTGAAATTGGGAATTTATCTCACTTTTGGCCAAAAGGAAAAGTATAAAATAATAATTAAAAGTAACAATTAATAAAGAAGTGGGGAAGGGGGACAACGTTCAAACTTCATAGACATGCGACCAGCTGACTGAGGTTTCTGCTGCGTGCCCTGTGGGCCATGCTCGAATGTTATTTCACGCAAATATTGGACCCAAATACAATATATATTAATTAGTCTCTTACATTTTTTTAGTTCAACCATTATTGCTCGAGAATTAAATCATCAACACGGACGGTGATTAAATACTCCATCTATTAAATTATGCTTGGATTGACTATTAAATCTCTACTAAGTCTTTGTTGTCAAGTGTAGCTCAACTGACATTTATATTAAACCAAAAAGTCGTGAGTTTGAATATTCATCCACATGTTGTACTAACAAAAAAGAAAGCCCTTGTTTGGTTTCTATAGGTTGGGCAGTAATCGTCTGTCATCATAAAGTAGTTCCCGCGAAGCTTTAAGGTGGAGAATTCTGTGTGACCATTAAAATCGTGGGATTTGTGCTCGTAGAAAGTATCGAGTTATCAGCTCGATAACAAAGAAGGAATCGATTGGGAAATGTCATTAAAGTAGGAGATTGGAGATCTGGTATGATTCAAGAATGCAAAATATAGACCGATGCAAAAGGTTAATGTTATCACCTTGAGCCTACTATATTTTGCAATAGCAGTGTCCAAAATACCTAATATGAACCTAGATGGCATAGGGCTAAGCGAGGCGGAAAGAATTTTCTTTCCTAAATTTTTATATTCATTACAATTATCTTTAAACTATTAAATGCTTTATGTAAATCTCTAAATTTTGTATAAAAATTATTTTAATTATCATGGTTATTTTTTTGTTCATTTATATAATTTGAATAAATCATTATATAGACAAGTGTCGGAAATCACAATTCACAGGTATATTACGAGTCTTAAAATGGACAAATAATAATAATAATAATTGTGATTTTTTAAAATAAAATAATATTTTCAACTGAGCTTTGTATGTTTTTTTTTTGAATTTGTACAATTTTAGAGACATTCATTAAAAAAGGGAATGAAAAACTAAAGTGTTACCAAATAATCCTTTAAAAATTTAATCGACCATAAATATAAGCAAAACAACAAAACATAAGTGAGGGCAGAAGCCTAAAAAGACTCAAACTCGGAATAAAAACTTTAAATCAATTAAATTTTGTCAATCGAGCCATCGCAGATCGATACAAAACTCAATTGACTACAAAGTTAATGGAATGATATTCTTAATTAATAGAACAAAACCTTTGAACTACACAAAAACAAGCTTAGAATCATTCAAAATGTAATTCTAGAGCAATGTAGCACCTATTTCCTTTAACTATGTAACTTTAAATTTCTTAATGTAGGGTTGATTGATTGCTTTTGTTTAATATCCAAGTGAAATTGGATTGTGGTCCATCAAGATTGGCTTTGAAACCCATGACATTGTATGATTCAACATCTTTTGGGCCCCAATTGATCTTGGATCCTTAAACCCAATAGACTTAACTGGTCCAATGTGTGCAATTGGGCTTAGTGGGCCCAAGAAGATTTTCTTGGGTTTCAAGCCTAAATAGTTGGGGAGGATTTATACATATATAAATACATCTAAAAATATTACAAAAGTATCAATAGAATCCAAAATGCTTCAATTGCTTCAATTATAGTAAAGCTTCATTTGAAGCATTCTACTCAATCAATTTAATCCTATTTTGACATCAAAATCTAAAGTTAGATTTTGTAATTAATTACATCACCTAAGTATAGCTCAATTGATTAAGACATTAGTAATATCCCTTTGATTAAGACATTAGTAATATCCCTTTGATTAAGACATTAGTAATATCCCTTCTAAGTTAAATGTTCTATTTATCAATTATGAATGTAAGAAAATGATTGTCAACCAAATTACTATTAAACGTTCTTTCAAGAGTATTGGAAATTTATCTTTCTAATTTGTAAGAAACCCATCTTTCATTTTACGTTTTATTGTCAATTGTTGATTTCAAATGATCATTTAGGTTTCTTGACCATTACTAATAGCATTGCTCATAGAAAAAATTATTTGATCGATCATATATATCTTAACCAGTCAAACTATGGTCTAGTCGGCGCCACTTTGAAAGTTAGACTCATCTTGAAAAATTATTATTTTTTTAATCAAAAGTACATTTCATTTTAACCCAAAGAAAAGAAGGTGGTGCTCATTAAATTGATGAAAAGGATTTGGTTTTCATAGTTGGGGAGTGAAAGATGAGGCTGAAAAAGGGGTAGTCCACGTGGTTGGCGGCCAAGTGGAGGAGCGGATGATCAAGAACTTGTTTCTCATTGGTCCGAAATCTATCCCTCAGATTTCCCCTCCAGATTCTCATCATCACAATTCACACATGGCTCCATTTAAACCCACAATTCAATCCACCATATCTCATAAAGTCATAATTTACGTACCTCAAAGCTGAAACACTTCTTCCACAAACCATCCATGGCTGCAACTGCAACTTCTGCTGCTCTGCTTAATGGCTTTGGCTCCCCCTTCCTCCGTGGGGGCAGTAGCAGAAGCCACGCCCTGCTCGCTGGAGCCAGAGGTGGTGTCAATGTCGTCGGCTCTCGCAAGCTCGTCATCGTCGCCGCTGCTCAGCCCAAGAAGTCTTGGCTCCCCGGCGTTAGGGGCGGCGGCAACTTGGTCGACCCCGAATGGCTCGATGGCTCGTATGTCCCTCTCACTTCTCACAATTTGCACATTTTTCACCTATTGTTTAGATTTAGATTTAGACCTGCAATTGGAAGAGTGCACATTTTCATAAGTTATTGTATTGAATCTACAAGTAGAAGAGGCATTTCATCGAACACTTTCTGAGCAGTTATCGTTCATAATCAAACGCTTTCTTGGCAATTACAGTTTATAATCTGGAAGAGGCATTTCACCGAACATTTTCTAAGCAGTTATCGTTCATAGTCTATTAGAAGCATTTCGTCGAACGCTTTCTAAGCAATTACTGTTTATAATTTGGAAGAGGCATTTCATCGAACACTTTGTAAGCAATTAGTCACCTGTTTGCTTGTGTAGGCTCCCAGGCGACTACGGGTTCGACCCACTGGGCTTGGGGAAGGACCCAGCATTCCTGAAGTGGTACAGAGAGGCAGAGCTAATCCACGGCCGGTGGGCAATGGCGGCTGTGGTCGGAATCTTCGTGGGGCAGGCTTGGAGTGGGATCCCATGGTTCGAAGCCGGAGCGGATCCGAGGGCAATTGCTCCCTTCTCCTTCGGATCTCTGCTGGGAACACAGCTGCTGCTGATGGGATGGGTGGAAAGCAAGCGGTGGGTGGATTTCTTCAACCCTGAGTCACAATCGGTGGAGTGGGCGACGCCTTGGTCGAGGACGGCGGAGAATTTCGCGAACGCGACGGGAGAACAGGGGTACCCCGGCGGGAAATTCTTCGATCCGTTGGGATTCGCCGGAAGTTTGAAGGACGGAGTTTACATTCCGGACACGGAGAAGCTGGAGAGATTGAAGTTGGCGGAGATCAAGCACGCTCGGATCGCCATGTTGGCGATGCTCATCTTCTACTTCGAAGCTGGACAGGGGAAGACGCCGCTGGGTGCTCTTGGATTGTAAAATAGAAGATTGAAGAATTTGTTAATGTGAAGGTAAAATTGTTCATATTTTCACCAAAAACAGAAAGGGCCTTGGGAACTGAACATGAACATGAACATGTGTTGATTTTGAGATAAGATTTTGAAGGGGAGGGGTTTTGTTCGGACTTCCGAGCCCTGATCAAATTCAAAATGAGTGTGTGTCATGCCAATTCCAACTGTCTTTTCTATTTTTTATTTTATTTTTTTGGTAAATTGAATGAATCACTTGGAAGTATATAAGTTGTTATACTTAAAACTCCAACTTTTAATTATGAAAATTAACCCTCAAATTTTCATGTGAAATGTTTAAAGGTTACTAAAGAACTAGAATGCCATAGAATTACACCTCTTCATGGCGAAGAATGATATTTCCTCCCTTGAATCCTAATCTGGTAAGGATAAATAATAAGGGCCGATTTTAGGAGATGGGAAGTTATACCTTGAAACTTGATGACGATCTTGATTAGGGGATGAAGAGCTATACCTCAAAACCTTATGGCAATCGTTTTTAAGATATGAGAAGTTATACCTTGGACCCTGACTACTATCATTTTTAGTGGATGAGAAGTTATACCTCAAACCCGGATGATCATCGACGATTTTTCGAGTGTCAGCAAAAATACTGTTAGGAAAGCCATAAATTCCTGTGGTGTGACAATCTTTTTAAGGGATGAGGAGTTTTACTTTGGACTATGGTGATAGTCGTTTTTGGGGGACGAGGGGTTATACCTCGATCCATGATCATGATGATAAATTTTAGGAGATGATGAGTTTTACCTCGGACCTCGAAGACGATCATTTTTAGGGGATCAGAAGTTATACCCTAGACCCTGACAACGGTCGTTTTCTACTTTTGGTATTCCTTGCGTGTGTCAGAACTCTTTCTGATTTAGGTTAGTAACATTTTCTTTTTCATTTTAGCTCTGACTAAAAATATGTCTACCCCTTACGAGGTGTTGAGTCAAATCGACCTATTGAAGGCTCCTACCTCTAGCCGAGGTAGCATTTTTCCTTAACTCCGGTCTTAACCACTTATCACTTGTACTCATATTTTCTTGCATTTTCGGTTCACTTTGATGCTTGTCATGTAGCGGTTGGCAAGCACATGACTTTTGGTGTGGAAAAGAGAGGAAGAAAGCTGGGCCGCACTAATAGAAGTTGGAGTGGCTAAGGTCGCATTGGAAGAGTCTAAGGTCAAAATTCTCTAAGTATAGCCGAGCTATAAAGTAAGGCCGAGGTATTGCTCTTTGAAAAATGGGTTTTATGCTTCATACCTCAGGTTAGTCTTTCTTGGGATAGCTCATCCTTGTCATAGCTTATCCTTTAGTCTTATGTGAGATCTCACATGGGAGCTTGCGCTTGAGCCGAGGTGAGCTTTCTTGAAATATCTCATTCTTTAGGTTTAACTTGAGGTGGCCTATCTTCAAAGTCGAGGTGATCGTGATTGGTCTCTCCTTGGAGACTTTAATCGGTCTCTCATTAGATTTTTTCTCTATTGGCTTACATGAGCTATCTAATGGGAGCTCACATTTTTTAGGGTTAGTTCTTTTGGACTAGGTAAGCTATCTCGTAGGTAGAGGTGCACAATCAAATCGACAAAATCGATGAAACCGACAAAATCAGACTAAACCAACCCGAAAAATCGATTTTAGCGTTTTCTCGGTTTAGTTCGGTATGTTAAACTTTAAAATCGATTAATACAGTTCGATTTCGGTTTGGGTTGACAACCAAAATCTAAAACTGAACTGTATATATTATTATTATTATTATTAGGGTAAATTGCACAAATCACCCCTAAAATATGATAGTTGTTACAATTTCATCCCTAAACTTTTAATTGTAAAAATTAAACCCTGAAACTTTCCATAAGTGAAAAAATTAGACCATAAAGTTTCAATGGTAAAAATTTAAACCCTTAAAACCTTCCAAAGTAATAAAATTGGACCCTCTAAAATATGCCATTGTAAAAATTAAATCGTAAAATTTTAATTTGGGTGGGATGAGAGCAGATCTGCTAAAAAAAATATATTTTTATTTCGTTTCGAAGATTCTTATAACCAAATCGAATTTATTTTCTTTCATCTTCCAATTTGAAGCAGACCCGATTGAATCTGTCTCTTTTTCCCTCTCTATGTGGCGGGTTTCTCATTTTTCTTGTTTGTTCTCTGTTGATGCGCTTCAATGACGGCTTTTCAGGCATATCCCCCGTTGTTTCTTCCAAAACTTCCCATTTTTGATTACGAACTACTCTGAAGAAATCTACCCAATACCCATGTTGTTGATTACGAACTCTTCGTGTCCTCTGCAGTAGAAATTACTAAAATTTAGTCACGAAATATTTGATGCATTTATATTGTTGAGGCATGTGGGGAAGGAACCAACTCTTGCTTGCCTCATTCGATTTTATTCGAGGTCGAGCGAGCCATTACCACATGCAGCAGAAACAGAGTGGTAATGGCTTAGGTAGTTGATTTAACATATGCTTAAACATCGAACGATCGAGATGGAGAAAGCAGCAAAAATTGCAGAAGAAACCAAATCTCTAGTTAGAGATTTCTAATGGCTTCTATGTGAGAGAATCTGAATTCAAACACAAGATTCAAATGAATTTTGCTCAATCCCTTTTTGATAATACTTGGAATTGGTATACTAGATATAATTTTTAAAATGGTAGAGTTTAATTTTTACAATCTCGTAATTGAGAGGGTGAGATTTTATTATTAGTGAATGTTCAAGGATTTGATTTTTACTCTTGAAAGTTTAGGGGTTGTTTATGCAAGACTTTGCTCAACAGTTCTTCACGAATCGAGCTCGAACCCGGTCTCCGGTTCCAAYCTGAACACTAGAGTGGACCTGCATAAGAGGGTAAGCACTCCGACGCTCAARTYAGTATAGATCGGATTCTGTATTTAGTTCGAGGTGAGATTCGATACCTGAGCGTGAAATGAAGCCCTCTATTTATAGGTGATGGATCCGACAGTACACACGACCGGCGGTTATATATCTTTTCTCATATCGGACCTGTCGGGTTCCGAGCAGGTCGGACCCCAGCCAGGTCGAACCTTGACGCCCATACTTAGTCTTTGATAATGGRCGAACCCGGTCTCCTCGACAAGGCCGAGGTGGACCTAGGCAATCCCTCTTATTTAGTTTCTTCAAACACCAATAAGGGTCCTCCACGTGTCCTGGGTATGTTTACCCCCAAACATTGGCCCCCTCTCTGTCASGTTCGATCTCGACCTGACAGAGAAGTTCATTCGAATCCATTCTTGACACGTGGCGACTTTTCATTTGTAGAGGGAATATAACCGTTGCAGAAGACGTTTCGATCTGCCAGGTTGTCGGAGCACTCRAGTATTCYGTCGTTGCGGATCTCGAGAAGATCCTAGTCGCTCGTTGATTACACGTGTACGGCGCAGAAGTTTTTCCGATTAGCTATAAATAGTCCCGAAACTTCAGGTCAAACCTTACGTTTCTTGAATTTCTGGAGTTCGATCTGAAACCAGCTCGAACCCTTTCTGTAGGTCAGTCACTTTTCCTTGTTCTTATTCTTCTTTCAGATATGGTAGTTTTCTTGTCCTCCCCCTCCAGTAGTGATAGCATAGGTAGTGCGGGTCAGACCATAAGTAGTTCGCCCCCCAAACCAAGCGATTCTGGGGAGGTCTTAGCTCGTAGGTTAGAGTCCGAGCTGGAAGAAATAGAGAACTTTAGGTTCTTAGATGATGGGGAGGATAATGATACCTCCACATCGGGCCAGGGTCTGAAGTACCCTTCAAAGATGCCCGAGCACTATCTCAGACCCCTCCGTAGGGGGTYTAAAATTCCGAATGATATCCTTCTTAGGATTCCAGAGGAAGGGGAAAGAGCTGACAATCCCCCAGAGGGATGGGTCACTCTTTATTTAAAGATGTTTGAGTACGGCCTCAGACTTCCTCTTCATCCTTTTGCCCATGAGTTTTTAAACCGAACTGGACTGGCTCCTGCTCAAGTGGCCCCCAATGGGTGGGGTGTCATTTTTGCTTTAGCCATTCTTTTTAGGTTGTGAGCTCGGGACGAGGATGAGGCCGAGCTACTAAGCCTTGACCAACTTCTTGGGTGTTTTAAGGCCAAGAGGATAGCTAAAAAACCAGGTCGGTATTATATGTGSGCGAGGAAGARCGCGGTGACATAGTYAAGGGGCCGACCTCCATCAAAGGATGGGTAGGTAAGTGGTTCTTTGCCTTAGGTGAATGGCTGGCAAAGGACGAGTCAGGTCGTCCCTTATTTGATGTGCCTGTTAGGTTTGGGAACCTAGGTATGAGGCCGTTGCGTTTACCTCTTTAAATTTTTCTATTCTTCCCTTTTCATGTCTAACTTGAATCTTTTTTGTCCTGTGCAGTGTCGATCAAACCAATCCCTAAGCTTACACAAGCCTCTTTCGACACCCTCAAATTTTACAAAGATCACTTCCCCAGAGGTCGGAAGATCGGAACTTTGGTGACCGACAAGCTGCTTCTGGAATCTGGGTTGTTAGACTACAACCCCTTAGTGCGCCCGGTTGAAGCTTCAAGGTCAAATTCCGAGCTCGGTAAGCCGTGCTCGATCTCGACTTCAATCTCAATTTTAAGTTTTCATTTCTGACTTTCCGTTTTATTCGTATTGCAGCCATAG